TAATGTGTTTAGTATAACAATCTTATCCCATAAATCAGTTTACTCAGTGTGTATCTATGGAGAACGAAGTTCTATGGGTATGGTAATTTATTTTCTGTCAGTTGTCGATATATTTTTGACATCTGAATAATTCTGGCTTTTCTGATATACGCTTTCGTAGAGGAAAGTCGAATTTTGGTTTCCTTTAAATCAAGGGGTTTGTAAGAACAAAAAAAAAGAAAAATAAAACAACCAGAAGGGAATTTTGCATTTTTTGCCGCCTTAGCTGACATGTGTTTAGGCGTCTGGCCTTATCCAGAATTAACTAGTAAAATCTAGTTTTTTGTTGCAAAATGCTGATGTAAGCAGTAGAATTCACACTGGTGGATGCAGTTTTTTACATACATTCACACAATTCACATTGGGATACAGTATAAGGGATCAAAGACAACTTCCATGAGGTTAGAAGCGGTCTAACAATTTTCTTTTCTCCAAGAATCCTGTCAATTTGAGATAACACTTTGTCCAGGGTAGCCGGTTCTGTGCTCTTGTTGAATAAGGATTCATCTGGAATTTTGTTAAGGCTTTTCCTTCAGCATCAGCCTGTATTTGGGAAAGTCCCGTTTTCAAGCTGAAGTTTCATGTAAAGTTCACACAAAGGTATTTATGGTGAAAATTAAAATATGTATTTTGAGAGACTTTTCTTTAAATTTAAATTTTGAAACACTTTTTTTAGTAATGATTTAATGAATACATTTTGGGTGATATTAACTGGTATATCTTCATAGGGCTCCACAGTTTATCCATATTTTATCAAATATAAATTTGTTACTACCAAATTTTAACATATAAATTTGTTACTATTGTATTGTCTAATTTTATAACAGATCTTTAAATAATTTCATCAACATCTGTAATGTAAACTATTAATTTTGGAAGTGCTCATGATCTTGACCGGGATGTTTTGTTGTCAATAAATGAGACATTATATTTATGATCCGTGCCAGCTCAGTCAGCTATTATTATGGTTACTCTGATGTCTGACTACATAAAAACAATTTTTTCTTTGTTTAACATTGACTGATTTAAAGAACTCAACCAGAGAATAAAGATAAAAAAATTTTATTTAGCTTTTTATTTCTTCAATAGTTTTAATACAACAGGATCTTCTTTGAAGTTAGGAATTTAATGATTTTTATATATTTTTTTTTTCTATAGTTTTTGTATAAAAAATAGGGTGGCGTCCAATACATCTTTAGGTCTGGTACAAGGTAAGATTAACAGAATCCCCCCATTATCCACTGCTCTACGACGACGACTAGCCAGGACACAGTTTGCAAAGGGATGAGTTTGCATAGATTCTATCCCCTGACAAGAACACTTTAGTAACAAATTAGACTTGTCGAACTGTGCATATTTCTAACCCCTACTAAGGACAGCAAGTAGGAGTTATACTATAACAAAATATGACTTTCTGTTGAATAAAGCTTTTTTGAGTTTGCATTGGTTTATAACAAGAATCTAAATGTATACATTCTTTGCATTTATAGATCACCTGATTCTTCTACGGAACTATTTTTTCAGAACCTACTAAATTTGTTGACGACCTGCCCAATAAAAGCAGAAAAATTATATGCGGTGACTAATATATTAATTACGCTGTTGCTTGTGCTACCCAATTATCCTTGGTCAATATTTTCGAATCATATAGTTTCACAATGCACGTTAATTCTACAAGAATTACTAAAACAACAAAATCCACAAGGAAAATAATTCCTGCAGCTGGCTGTATACCGCGTATCCAAAAAAGAGGTTAGATCTTTGTAAATGGGTATATTTAAAAAACCCTTAAAAGGGCTACATCAAATTACACAAACGTTTTCGGAATAATAATTCCATCATCAGGTTTAAAAATGCAATTTAACATGCCTGAGCCACCAAAATATCAGGGTAAAAACGCTTTAAAATACTTGAGGTTACAAAAGATTGTACATAATGTTGTAATTAATATTTGATGTTTAATATTAAATTAAATTTAACTTTAGGTAACATACACCCATGTTTTAGGTGAGTTCCAGCGTCCGGAGAGTAAACCTCTTCCAACGGACTACAGCTGGCAGTTACCATGGAAAATTTTCTTTTTGCTGATGATACCACTATCACCTAGAGAAACTTCAATATTGCAACTATAACTTCTGATCTACTTAAAGTAAAAACCGGGTCCGACTCTAATTTAGTCCCTTTTAACGTGGATGGATAACACAATAGCATTATCCTATAAAGGAGCTCTTCAACCCTTGATCCTTAATAACAGCCAGATCAGTATCATTGATTCTGTAAAATTTCTTGGTATTTTTATAGACAGCAATCTTAAATGGTCCCTTCATATCGATTTATTAAGTAAGAAACTAGCCTCATCCTGCAATAAGGTCTGTTTTAAAGGAAATCAATTTATATATAGCATCTTCTATTCTACAATATTTTCATCCCGATCTCTCATTTCATTTGTAAGTACATACAATTTACATTATTTAAGATGAGGAAATGAGGAAGCGTGTTTGTTTACATTTTAATAGGCGTACAATTGGGTTTATTCATGTTCATTAATGTATTGAATAAGATATGAGTTCATGAAATAAGTAGACATTTATAAATTGTAAGTAGACATCATCTGATTAAAAAAGATCTGTTTAGTACCTTTTTAATTTCATATTTCTCATGGATACAATAGTAAAATGAATAAAACTCATTTATTTTTCTATGTAGGTTTCCAAATAATATTGACGATCGAACTATTTGGGTAGCAAATTAAGGAGAAAACATAAAGATTTTTTATTGTAGCATTATTTTAATACTATTAAAAAATTAACTTGAATTCAACTATATTTAATTGTATTAATTTTAAAGCAAATAAAATTGTATTTTAATTTTTCTATAAAGACGTGATTTGTTAATAGTTAAACTCTCGTTTTTTTTAATTCTTTGAACGTGTTTTTATACATTATTACTACTTCCAATTTTTAAAATCTGAATAATTACCCGCAAGTAAAAATTCAAGCACGCTTATGCTCATTGCGGAAGCATCACATTCTATCGAAGCTTCAAAACATTGTGTGTTAAAGGTATCTTATTGCTGTGTCTATCTATGTTTATACGTCCATGTGTCCAACCTAATGTTATTTTTAAATTACAAAAAAGAGCAATACGGCATCTTTTTGGCCTCAGTAGAATAATACATTGCAGAGGTTACTTAAAAAATCACGGGATTTTAACTCTTCTCTCTTTATACATTTTAGAAACTGTTTTCTTAATTCGGAAACACCTACATGTTTTCCAGCGAGACCTAACCATGACTACTCCACCAGAAATTCAATCTTTGATGTGTATTTACCCATCCCGTCCACTGAGATAGTAAAGAAATCTATAATATATTCGGCAAGAAAATTATACAACGATCTCCCTTTGCAACTTCTTTCCTTAAGTTCCATAAAATGACAAAATCCTATCTATCTGAAAGGCCATATTATTCAGTGGAAGAGTTTCTTAACGAATAACTAAGAAATTCCAGTACCTTAAATTTTGCAATATATTGTACATTGCAATAATTGTGTATTTATTATTTTGTGTATTTATTATTAAATTGTGTATCTTTTATTTTGTGATATTGATGATTTATGTAATTTCAGTAAATTTTAAAATTGTACACTTTTCAGTGACAATAAAGCATATTTCTATTCTATACCAAGAAACAAATTTTAATGGCTTCTGAATAAGTAGCATTGTACTGATTGAGATATTTTCACCTGTACATATAATGTATAATCGCTCATATATCATATTAGACAAAAATTTCAATACGTTATAACGCCGTTTTGTTAAACGCTATAACATTTGTCTAGACGAAAATTTAGTCCCCTTTCTTGTTCAGCTATCTTTCCTACAATTTATCAAGAATAAACGGCATACGTTTGGTGTAAAATTCTTTAACTTCTATGTAGAAGGGTGCACTTTAAAATCTACTGTAGAACCGAGAAAACTAATAGTGTACTGTGTGTTCCAACTTCGGTTGTTTAGAAGTATGTCACGGACTTCTTGACTGCGGTTGTACTGTGTGTGTACAAAACTATTACACTAGTATTGATCTTCTAGCGTGTAAATTATTATAAAGACAAAACCACCTTTTTGATACCTTGCGAAGAAATTGGAAGGGAAATTCCAACAATATGATTGAAAAAAGGGGCAAGTAATTGGCGCAGAAATTGATTCAGGAGTTATAGTAGTAAAGTGGTGTGATAAACCAAAGGTTTTGATTTTAACAAAACATGTGGAAAAAATGCTACCGTAACTTCAAGAAATAAAACTGTGAAAGAAAAGCCAGAAATAGTCATCGACTACAACAAAAATAAAAGTTTGGTAGAATTATCTCATTAAATAAAGACTCATGCTACAAGGACCATAAAGCGGTATCGGAAAATGGCCACTGGAATTCGTCTGGGGCCAGCAGTTGTACATGCATTCATATTACATAAAAAAGTAACGGAATTTAATATTAGCATAACGTAGTTCAGAGTAGTAAGTAAAATATTCACTGCTAATAAACCCAAAGGAAAGAAATTGGGAAAAGCATGTTTTGGAAGAAGTAGAAAGCAAGAATTTGTTTAATGTGACAAATTCCAGTGTGTAACTTTTTTCACAAATGCCCACACTTGTCTTCTCTAGACGTTTTATATAGAATGCAATACTACTTCCTATACAAATCCTTTGTTTGGTATTGATATTATTTTTCTTGTGAGCAGTTTCTTGTATTGGTGAAGAAATAAAGCGTTTTGTTAAAGTAATATGTGTATTATCTTTTATTCACCACACTACCAAGTCTCTATACTGTTGTAAAAGAGCAAAAATCAACAACCAAAGAGTTGAGCAATTGGGTACATTACATTAATTGCAGGGCCGATATTTAACAGTGAAAATTCGGATTGTACAAACAAAATGTATGGGAACAATTTAAATAAAACACTCAATTCACTTTAAATAAGCTTTGTTTATTGGCGGTTATGGTATTCTATAAAAATTAAACAATCTGGTGAGCAGTGCAATACTTGTCTCTTAAAGTCTTCTACATTTTTGGAAAGGCAACGGAAGATTTTTGTAGATATTGGAAAACATTACCAAGAATTTTCATAAAATATTAATGTATTACAACATTTTTTTCCAATCAAATCACCAATTTTTCTAAACCTGTCTGGGTCCTCCACGAAATTTTTAAAATCTCTAAAATATAGCAAACTTCTCTTGTAAATGATCTTAATCTGTAAAATATCCTCCTCACTGGGGATATTAAAATCTAATGCATCAATGTCTTCATTTAACCTAGAATATTTGTTAGCTTCTAATAAATTTAAACATTTCTCTATAGGTATCCAAGTGTAGGTTTCGGGGCAGACTAAATAAGATGGCGTCAATTTACCTTTATACCTCATCTTCGGACAAGAATGAATGTAAAAACCCATGTAATAGTAGGAGAACTCGGGTAGACTTTTCTGAATTTTGCGGGTTAATTCTACTTCTCTGAAAATGTCAATAAAATTTATTTTTAAAGCAGGTGATTATATATTTAATATTTATGGCAAGCATTAATAAGTAATGATGAATTCGACCAATACTTGAACAAAATGCATTAAAACATCGACATTTTAATTGCTTTTAAAGCAGTAAGGTTGGCATAAAAAGAATTTCTTCTTCACATAAAGTGTTTTTACCATAGAGCAAAAAGACAAAAGACGGAATGTAAAGCTAGTGGGGGCAAAAATATTGTTAGACAAGAAGTGCCATCTTGAGAGGCCACATTAAACAAGGAAAGAGAGTCTTTCCTTGTTTAAGAAATCAAATTTAGTTGGGTTATGTTATTGTTTGTCCCAACTGTCATATAAAATTTTATGTATATTGAAGTTTTTTAATAATTGTTTCACATTTTAAACTGTTAGCGTTAATATTTAATTAAAACTTTTTCGTCTAAGACACATTCTGAAAACTATTTTATAGCTTCTGTTAATGTGTCGGAAAATTTAAATTTGGCGCATTCGCATTTCCGGATATGTCCGCCATCAGAGGCCACTTTTTTGGTCTCCTTTTCATAACGATTAGATTCCCTCTTTTGTCTTTTTGCTCGATGGTTTTTACATATATATCTTTATACCATTTTTCAAAGTAAAAAACTTGCACGTCACGATTTATACAAAGTGACGTCACTTGTATTTAAAATTTTCAGAACATCAACCTTAGAGTTCAAATTTTCCTAACACAGCTAATAATACGAAACCCATACGGAACTGCTCGACCTTTCATAGGCGTCAACATTGCGTAGTAATCAGAAAAATGTAATCATCATTATATTGGAAATTTTAGAATTATATTGATTAAATAACCTTAATCCGTAAGTCTAATATTCCACAAAATAATAATTTTAATTAAATATATTAGACAATTGTACGCAACTGATACGGAAATACTTCAAATTTTGTTGACAGTTCAGCGTATGGCAAAAGTGTATAAAGTGTTGCCGCTTTTTTAGGGTAGGAATATTGTTTCTGTTTTGATTTCTTACACAATTTGATTATAATATATATTAATAAATTGTATTTATAAATACATATTGAATTTAGATTAATAGCTTTAAAAACTAATTATTGTTGTGTATTGTGATTGCGATATGCCAAAACAAATAAATAGTCTGTAGAAAGCTGATAAGCTTTCATATAAGATAGAGTATTTTGAACAAGAAATAATGGCGGGACGTTTTAAATCCCTAAAAGAGGTAAGTTTAAAATTTAGAATATATAATTTTGTATTAAAATGTTTTCTTATGTATTTTAATGTGTTGCAGAAGTCTTAAAACTAAGTGTATTTACTGTTAATATATTAGTTTGACAAATAGTTGACATTTTAAAAATTCCTCACTCACTAACTATTTTGATGTTTTGGCAACGCTGTGGGGTTCTGACGACGTAAATCTTGAATGACGTGCAAGCTTTTTTATACTTCATCTAATTTACATACCGATGCACGTCATCGTAGATATGTTCTTTTTTAGAATCACTTTGCCGAATACACTGGCATTACAGCCACTAGACAAATTATATATGCGTAGAAATAATATTGAAAGATTTCTATTAATGTTAACTTAAAGAAATACACAATATGTTTCATTTAATTTGTATAAATGCATTATAAAGCGTTTTTATAAAGAACATTTGTTCGGAACACACTGTAACTGTAATCGAACGAAGGAGAAATTTTGGCATAAATTGGTAACACTTATTTGACAGTTGCGGTGTTGGATAGTTTTTGTACTTTATTATTTTGAATTTTAAAGTGAATACCTCTTGTTTTATATTTTTATATAACTTGTCACTTTTAATACTTGTCACGTAAGAATTTAAATAGTCGTTGTAAAAAGATGGTAATACATTTGCAATAATTATGTGACCTATTTGATTTAAAATGGAGTCAGAATTTTTTTATACTTTGGCAACTATGTCAACTTCGATCTCTGTCAATGATAATGACATGCATCAGTAAGTAAATTATTGTAGATGAAGTATATATGAAAATGCTATATGCGAATTGTTTGATGAACCAATTGACTTATTGCTCAATTCACACCAGAAATTGTGTGAGTAAGAATGATTTAAGCGATAACAGTGCCATTGTTAATATCTTAAATGACGAAAGTTCGTGCAAATTAGCTTAATGAACTTTTTTTAACTTTAGATTAGATCGTACAATTATTATAAAATTCTAAACAATAAATATAATCTTATAAACTACAAACATGTGGTCTTCTGGTTTCTTCTATTTTAAAGTAGGAGTAACTTTTGCATTATGTATTAACCATTCTTTCAACCAACCTGTTCTTCATTATTTTATAAAGCTTACTATATATTTAAATCATCATATAGAATTTTTATTTAACGTCACATGTTTAACAACTCACGTCTCTTAAAAAATCTCTTGACTTACGAGTTCTGTCATGTCAGTTTCGTTTCAGTGGCAATGTTTGTTCTGTATTTTTCATGAATTTAAAAATTATTATTGTTTAAATCTCTCTAGGGAGAGTACATATTAATATTAATTGTTTTATATTCGTGGTTGATAATTTTTTATAACTTTATTATAATATTCTTTTTGACAACCTAACCTCTCTAAGCAACGTTTCTTTCCAACCTTATTAATGCAGTGGCGGACTAAGGCTAAAGCGGGCCCTAGCAACATTGCAATTCCGGGCCTACTTTTCAGTCATGACGCATACTTTGCATTTGGTAGTTTGGTTTTGTAGTTCTATTTAATTATCAGATTCCAAGAAAATAACATACATGTACAAAAATTAAATAGAATTTATTAAAACAAACAATAGGAAGGAAACCTGATAGTAGACGAAGACCAAATATGTGAAAGGTGAAAAGAATATTTCGAAGAGATGCTAAATGACGGAGTGACTACTGAAGAAAATTATTATGTTCCTAAATCTCAAATAGTAATAGAAGAAATACCAAAGCCCACAAAAGAAGCAATTGAAGAAATAATAAAAGATATGAAAAATCAAAAAAGCCCCGAGGAGTGCGACATTGTGGCAGAGAACATAAAATATGGAGGAGAGACCTTAATAAACCAACTTGGTGAGCTAATACTAGAAGTATGGGATGATAAAGAAATGCCTCTAATAAGGATATTCCTCTATAGTTTGCGCATTCAGTTCTATCTCCCTTTTTGTGTATAGGAATTATAATTGACTTATTCCATTCTCGAGGCATTTCCCGCCATACTAATTAAAAAACGATTAGAAATATATAGAGAAGAATCTAGGAGAATACCCAGGAGGATTTCGGAAAGGAAGATCAACCAATCAATTTTTTATGCTAAAACAAATCCTGATCAATTGCTATGAATACAACATTTCAGCTCATGTACTTTTCATTGATTACAAAGCCGCCTACGATACAATAGACAGAAACAAATAAATAGAAACCTAAACGAATTCCAAGTGCCAAAAAAAAATAATAAGATTGGTAAAAATTACAGTTAGACAAACCATTTGTGCTGTCAGCTGCAACGGTACCGTCTCAGAAGAATTCGAAGTGAAAAAAGGTGTTCGCCAAGGAGACCCATTGTCTACATTGCTATTCAGTATAGTTCTAGAAAAAATTGTAAAAGTCAGTGGGATAAATAGGTACGAAACTATTTTATACAAGGAGCACCAATGCTTCGGGAAAGCTCTAAAATGGGACTGAAAGTTAATATTAATAAATCGAAGTACATGGAGATCTCGAGGAAAAAAGGAATAAACACCAGGGGATCCTTTAAATTGGAAGTGAAGGATGGATTAGTAGTAGAATTCGAAAAGGTGGATGAATATATGTACTTAGGTACTCTTATTGATCAGGCATGTAAGGAAGAAACTGAAATCAAACTGAGACTGACCAAGAACAACAGGTATGCTGGAGCCATGAGCAAAATAATTAAGGCCAAAGATATATCTAGTAATACAAAAATAAGAATATACAAAACTATAATTATACCCACAATGCTATACGCTGCCGAGACATGGACTATGAACAAAACCATACAGAACACATTGGAAGCATGGGAAAGATAGATACTTCGCAGAATGTTTGGTGGAAAAGTAGCAGAGGGAGAATGGAAAAGACGAACTAATGCAGAAGTGTACCATTTGTATGCTAACCCTACAATAACAAAAGTGGTGAAAAAACGTAGACTAGAATGGCTCGGTCATCTAGAAAGAATACAATGTAATAGACTAGTCCAGGATATTGCTTGGAGAATGCCTGAGGGCAAAAAAGAGAGGAAGACCAAGGAAGAAACGGAGAGATGTAGTGACGGAAGATCTCAGAGAGATGGGAATCAGAGACTGGAAGCTGATAGCTAAGAACAGAAAACGATGGAAATTATCCATCCAGCAATGGGCCTAAAAAGTCCGTTAACGCTGTACATACATGCAAAACAAATATACCCAGATTGATTAGGTATACTACCTTTTTTCCTCTCAATTTTAATTCTACAAACTCGTCAATTAGTTAATTATAATAATATTAATAGTTAGTTAATTGCTATTTAATAACTCTTTTTCTATATAAAGGGATGATAAACTAAATAAAAAATTTTATTTTGACCATTACTGAGAATGATCTTTCACCGCTTGCATTGCTTATTGGAGAGGTTAAATAAATTCTCAGAATTGTGTTTAAATGACCAAATGGATACAGGCAAAATAATATTTTCTTTATAAGTCTTTAATTGCAATACTTCATTTTTCAGTTTTGTTAGGTTTAAATATTGTTCATAATATTTTAATGCCTCTTTTTAATAGTCGCTAACATCACTATCATGAAAAATTGTTTTGAATTTATTGTTAATAGTTTTATGTCCCTCAGATCTTTTTTAATGTGGCTAATTAAAGAATAGCATACAACAAGAAAAAATAAATTTAAAATGTTCTTGGCCACTGAATCTTATTTCATGTTCTGGAATTTCATCATGGAATGGTTCTCGTATTTTCTACTCTTTTTATCATTAGTATGTATATGTAATATTTGATGGATTCGACCGTTACTTGATGGAAATTCATTTTATGTTAAAATAAAGCAACGAAAACTTTGTTTTCAAAACTTCCATAAAATTTAATATAAAATCTTATCACTACAGTTGTTTTGGCAGAGTATCTTTCTCAAGCGATCTATTTTTGGCATGCGTTTACACTTTATAGTGTTTAATGAAATATGTTGAGGAGGGGAGATACAGTTTATCTCAAATGGCCTCTGTTTTGAATGTGAAGAATTTGAAATTTTGTCATTAAAAGAATGATTATGATCTAGAAGGTGAAGTGCGTATGTAGAATCTATTTTTCTATTATTGAAAGCCATTTTATGATGTGCTATTCGTTTATTAGAATTTCTACCAGTTTGACCGATGTAAGTTTTTGGACAGTCGCCAAATTTAAGTTTATATACACCACTGTGTAATTTTGTTGATATTTTGCATATGTAATCGAGCAGAAGGTACTGGGTTTTTTCTCTGGTGGTGGAAATTCTAATTTCAGGGCTTTCTTGTGTAGTTTTTGATTTAAAATTTTATTAATTTTTTAATTAATCGGAATTAATAATTCCGATGTCAAAATACAACTTTGAGACAGAATTAAATATCTTTAAGAAAATAGCAGTAAACAATGGATACAACGAACAAACAATCTGTATTAAGGTGGCTTCTTAATTTAACCATAATTAAATTAAATAAGAATGGACTGAGGCTGTCTCCTTGTCTAATCCTGCCTGGTGTTGGTATAATTTCAGTAGTTTCCTTGTTTACTCTTATTAATACAATGTTATTGATGTTTATTGCTAAATAATTAAAATAAAAAAATATACAACGATTAAATAAAAACTCAACTCTTTAATATAAGTTAACACGTTATTTTTATTTACCTTAGAGAGCCATATGTTCCCAACGTTAAACTAGCGTAATCAGGATCGTAGAAAAAATAAACTGAACTAACTCCTTTGGGTAATATGTCTATAACTCCAACTGCAATTAATTTTTCATTCAACCAATACTGTTGGTGAAATGATCCATATCCTGGACCTTCTTCGTTGTTCGGGAACCTTTTAGGCTAAAACAATGTATGGTCAGTAAATTTGTATTAATCAAAATGTATAACATGTAATTATTGCTTACACCATTGTATCATTTGTATATATAAATGCTGACAATACAATTTTTATAGTATTAAGTCTTCCAAATGTATAGTGAAAATGAAAAAGCTATCACAATGCGGGTAGAATAGATCTAGTCAAGACCATAGTAGATTGTTGTCAGGTGACTAGAGATTGTGTGCTTTGCGGGGACGCTTACAACTTTCTGTCGCTCACTAATGATATTCCTTTAATAACTGCATAAATATATCCTTAATAATGTTCTGAAGCTATTTTCGTGTGGCATTTTAAAGTAATTACTATTTTAATGGGAATAAGCCACAAGGAAGTTTATTGACGTTTCAATTTCCAGAACGATTTCCGAAGTGGAAATTGAAACGTCAATAAACTTACTTTAACCTTCAATTGTGGCTTATTCCCATTAAAATAGTAGTAATTATGTCCGTCGTACGCTTACCGAACTCTATTAGGCTAAATCGGTATTGAAATTTTCGGTCCGTCTGGGAAGAGGTTTTCTTTGAGAGAAATTTAGTGGCCACCTTGTGAAAACATGAGCATACATAGGATATAAATGGCGTAGATATTCGAGGAACATCATCAGTGAGGTTAAGGAGTTTACGATCTTTGCCGCATCACCTTTGATCAAGTCTGCCGCAGATGCTAATGAAATATCAGAAAAAAGTAATTCTAGAACACGGCCTATAAATTCCAAAAACCCTGTACCGTTATAAAATCATCATCATCAGTTGGCGCTACAGCCCTTCGTGAGCCTTGGCCTCCTTCAAAACATTCTTCCATCCTTCCCTATCGAGTGTCTGTCTTCTCCAGCCCCTCACTCCAATCTCCCTCAGATCTTCCTGTACATCGTCCAGATATCTAAATTTAGGTCGCCCCCTTCTTCTTCGGACTGGCCTGTTTAGCATAGTTATTTTAGTGGGATCACTCTCAACCATCCGCTTAACGTGGACCACCCACCTTAGGCGGTTTATTTTGATGGTCTTCACAATATCTGCATCACCAAAAAGTTTATAGAGTTCAAAGTTATATCGCCTTCTCCACAGACCCTGTTCGTTTACTCCGCCATATGTGGTCCTCAATACTTTTCTTTCAAAGACTCGTAGTAACTCTTCATCTCGGGTCGTCATTGCCCATGTTTCCGATCCGTATGTGAGCACTGGGCTTTTATAAAGTTTGCACTTTTTTGCTATTGACATACTTCTCGCTTTTAGTTGAGGGCCCAGGCCAAAATAACAGCGGTTAGCCACGCATATTCTTTTTTTTTTTTATCTCGACCGTTATAAAATACTGGCAACAAAAGTCTAGCCTTTCTTCTCAGTCTAGATAGTTCAAACAGCCACAGGTGTATTGTGGAAAATGTAATCAGAAAAAACGAATGAATCTTACGAAGAATATAAGAGAATAAGAACTGAAACTCACCGATTGGTAACGTAAACAAAAAGAGACTACAGCGAAAAATTCACAAAAGGACTAGAGATGCATTTCTACGGAAAACGGAAACAAGTATGGCGATTCATAAGACAACAAAGGAACGAACACACATAAAAGAGAATACATGGGTGACTTTCGATACAGAAATGTTTAAAAAAGACAATGAAGGATCCTTCATAGCAAAAGAAAATATAATAACTGACGAAAAGACCCAAAACAAAAAGACTCAAAAAGAGGTAAAAAGGAATCAATAAATTAAAAAATCGGAAATCGACAGGAAAAAACCATGTATCAAATTCTTACGTACTTGGTGATTACTTTGGTGATAACAACTTCAAATTCTCATACAAAAAATAAAAACCACTAACAGAATACCAGACGAATGGAGAAGAGCGACCAGACCGATGTTCTTCAAGAAAGGAGATAAGAAAAACTCTAATAATTATCGAGCAAGAAATGTTTTAAATACAACACTCAAATCAACAACAAGAATAAATGAACGAATAACTCTACAAGGGGAACAGTAGCGATTTCGGAACGGAAGATCGTGCACGGATGCAGTTTTAATAGTGAGGCAGATAAAAAAAATTGCTGGAATACAACAAACCAGCATATATCGTGATCGATTTAAAGAATGTGTTTGATAGAGTAAGAATCTATTATGTGAATAGAAGGGTTCTCTTTTTAGTTTTGCATATAGCATAAAGCCAAAAAATATATGGAATTAAAGTACTCTTTTATTGCTTTTCAAAATATGTACCACCAAGATCGATACACTTTTGCATACGTTCAAACCAATTGGTAAAACAGTTATTCCAGTTTTCAGTTGACATCTGCAAAATTGTTGTTTTAAAGGCATCGATGGCTTCTTCTGGCGACTGGAATCGCTGCCCACGCATTTAATTCTTCATCTTCGAGAACGCGAAGAAGTCGTTGTGACTTATATCAGAGCTATACGGTGGATGGTTTAACACTTCGATGTTTTGAAGCTCCAAAAGCTCTATTATCTTTTGGGCAGTAAGCACACTTGCATTGACCTGATGTAGGATGATTTGCCGTTGTGTGGTGCTTTTCTGAAGTTTCGCGATAAGTTCTGGTAAACAAACGGTTATATACCAATCAAAAGTAATCGTTCTTCGATCTTCTAAAGCAATAATTGTTACCATATGACCCGATTTTGATACAAAAGTTGCGACCATTTTCTTTGGCACACTTCGAAAATTGATCACTTTTGTTGGTTTTTCCTCACCATGAAACACATCGAGGTCTTTGAAATGCCCAAAGATGCCTTTATCTCCCTGTATGTTACACGGCGGTCATCCTTAATTAGCTGACGAACCGCATCAATGTTTTGCTGTGTGACTGCTGTTTTGGGTGGACCTGGTCTGGATTCGTCGCTGAGACTGGAGCTACCACGTTGAAATTCGCAAGACCGGCGGGAAATAGTTAAATGATGCTATGCTTCATTCCCAAACACAGAAATCATTTCAGCTAGACATTGCTGTTGGGATAATCCTCTCCGAAAATTGTAAAAAAATTATTACTTGAAAATGTTCTTGGCAAGATCCATTTTTCGACCGACTTGCTAATTTCAAAAATTCACTGTATCTACACGACTTGTTGTATCGCAATCAAACTCTCGATTTATGTCAACCAAAGATTGAGGTTACGTTTGTGATGTAAGGTTTTATTGGTGGCGCCCTCTAAGCGGTTATATGCAAAGCTAAAAAGACAAACATTTCTTCTGCCTTTCGTATTTCGGTTCTTATTTTTCTCTGAATATTGTTGTACATTCTTCTGTTGTTATTTGATTTTCTTATCCATGAGTTGCAGTATACTATCGTTCATCCAACTTTTTTTCTTCTCTTTCTTTTCTATTAGATGTTCTTCTCTGATCGTGTTAAAGGTTTGACATATATTCTGGAGTGATTTTTTTGCATTATATAATCTACTTATTTTAATTTTAATTTTTTTAAATGTTTTGAAAACGATTTCCGGAGTAAAAGTCGAAATTTCAAAAACAAATATAAAATGTAAATTTCATTACAACCAATTGTGGCTTAATCCCATCTAAGATATGGCACAAGAAAACATTTTCAGAGCCTACAAACTCTTATATGGAACGCAGGCATGGATGTTTGTAGTGGGTGTGCCACAAATAAAACAGTTGAATGAAGAAAGAACAAATAATTGGAAGCAAAATTGAACAGCACGGAACGAAAATATGAGATAGTGATTGATAAATGGGTAAAAAATGGCCCGAAAAAAAAGGCCTATTGAACCTGTTCAATAGAGGCCTATATCTGTTAATTTCAAGACATGGGTCGACCTTGAACACAGTGAGTTCAACAAGTCAGGAGTTCACGGGACTGAAACGGATTTCGTCTTCTGCCTGAAACGGATTGGTAAGTAGTAGAATGACGTATGTGTATATTGCCAAAGTAGGGTATGAAGATACTGCGGAGCATAGCTTCAGAACAATACTGCGGAGCATATACTGTTTGTATACGAGGACTGAATGAGAGAAATACGGGAGTGTCGCAATAGGTGAGAAGATGACAGTGGAGATGCTGAACTATTCTTCTTGTTAGAGTGTCGATAGAAATCAATCGATCTGCATTGATACCAATCACGTAGATTCTTTAACCATGAGTTCTGCCTTCGGCCAACAGATCTTCTTCACTTGAATCTATCCCTGTAGTATGAGTCAAAATTTCATATTTTGGTCCCCTCATCACGTGGCCTAGGTATTCCAGTTTTCTGGTTTGTATAGTGGTGATTAGTTCTGTTTCTTTACCAACCCCCTCCAGTACTTCTTTGTTTGTAATTCTATCAGTCCATGATATTTTCAATACTCTGCAGTATAACCAGAGCTCGATGGCCTCGAATCTTTGTAAATTACATTTTTTTAATGTCCAAGTCTCAGCTCTATATAATAATATTGAAAATATATAACAGCGAATGGTACAAAGTCTGATCTCCAAATTTAGATTTTTGCACGTTAGGAGTGGCTTCATTCGTATAAATGCTGATCTGGCAATCTCTATTCGCCTGTTTATTTCTGCAGTATGATCATTGGTTTCATTGATCAAAGTTTTCGAAATACTGATATTTTTCTACTTGTTCCATCACGTTACCATTGATTGTCAATAGGTGATGTATATTTTGTGGTACTTTTGTAATTAGCATGTACTTCGTTTTTTGTAGGGTTTATAGTAATTCCCATCTCAGCACTATTCATACTCAAGCTTTCGATAAGATGTTGTAGATCCTCTATACTCGTTGCTATGATCACAGTGTCGTCTGCATATCTTAAGATGTTCATTAATTTTATTATTAAGCGTGTTTTGAAAAATTTTTTCAGAATATAAAACAAAAGTGGTGATAAAACACATCCCTGTCTAACTCCTCTACAGATCCTCATTTCTTCTGAGTGTTGCCCATCAATTTGAACTATGGCATTTTGGTTCCAATAAAATGTACTATATTTATGATTTTACTGTCAATGCGCTTGTTCATAACTATTGATATTAGTTTTTCATGTCTTACTTTATCGAAAGCTTTTTCGTAGTCAACGAAGCACAAGTGTAGACCAACATTTACATCCCGACATCGCTGAATCAATATGTTGATTGCAAATAGTCCTTCTCGAGTACTATTCCATTTCGGAACCCGAACTACATCTCGCTAATATCCTCCTCTAGCCTTTCGTATATTCTCTTATGTACTATTTTTAGCAGAACTTCTAAAGTATGACTCATGAGGCTCAGTTTTCGATAATCAGAGAACTCTTTTGCTGCTTGTTTTTTAGGGATCGTTATAAATGCTGAAATATTGGAGCCCCGTAAATAATATGATTTTAGGGGTGATGAAAGAGAACTTGAAGAGGGGGCGAAGGAACTAATCGAAATCTTAGACTTAGAGTATATACGATGAAGAAATTTTCCACCATAACCTCTTCAACTGATGGACGCTTTTAGTGAATAGATTCCACACTATTAGCTGTCATAAGTCAGATAATGTCTTTTTGAGTCATGAAACTGCTTAGCAGCAATTCCTTTATATCAACCAGTTTATAGCAAAGTTACAAAATATAAAAATTAGCGGTTATAATCTTGTTACCACATGATATCAATAGCAATTAAAATTATAGATAGGCATTGTGATAGTCATAGTCAATTTTTGTAATTAACATGGTCAATGGCGGAAAATCGGACTAAGTGGAAAAGCATGCGAGAGGCCTATGTTCAGCAGTGGACGTTAGAGGCTAGTTGATGATGATGATAATTGATGGTCAATTACAACAAAAAATTCTACAAAAAATATTTTCTAGAATTTCTAAGCAGCACATTAAGGTTGAGTTTACCGAAAATACAAGCTGATTATAGCCGCAAATGTCAAACAAGGAACAAAATTTCGGTATAGCAGTGTTGGCATGTTTTTATAATGTAGATGCTGTATGCTTCAATTATAAAAACATAAAGCTTTAGAAAAGTACATTTTGTTTATATTATGTTATAAATTCTGCAATTTTTGATTTATATAAAACAAGAATAAGTAAATACTTGTTTCTTTTTTTGGCAATTACCCTTTGATATATTAGGGTATAGATTTGGCAATCGTCAAATCAGCAGTTGCCAGATTGCAACAGATGTTTGCAATTAATCTCGAAAGAGACAAATATTTACTCATATGGTTTTATATAAATTAAAAATTGCAGAATTCATAAAATAGTATAATCAAAATGTACTTTTTAAAAGCTTTCTCTCTTTATATTTGAAGCATACAACATATGCATAATAAAAACATCCCAACACTGCCAAACCAATTATTTTTGACATTTGCGGCTATCTTCAGCTTGTAATTTGGGTAAACTCAACCTACATTAAATTACTAAATAATTTACAAAATTTAATTTGTTTTTAAAAAAATTACTTCTAATAAGTTACAAGAATTTGAAGAGCATAATATAAATTAATTACTATTTAAATGGGAATAAGCCACAATTAAAGGTTAAAATACGTTTATTGACGTTTCAATTTCCACTTCGGAAATCGTTCTTAAAATACAAACATTCGTAAATTAAACAAATTTTGTTTTTTTGTTATTTGGTGAAAAAATTTTTTCTATATTGACAATTCAGACATACATTATAAATTTTAAAGTATAGTTTAATGTCGACTTTAAAATTATATTGCCAATATTGTTGAGTTGCGATCCTGGAACGACTTTACTTATAAGATAGTTCATTCTATCTACTATATACATCTACGTAAGCATTATGATGATTTGAATGATCTACTTTACATAGACTTCGTAGACGTAGACTTTTTCAAATAAAAATGTGTCATTATTCTCCCTTAACTACTTAAAATAAAAAGGAACCTGTACCTGCTCCCAAATAATGGTTTTCCTCTATCATTATTACAACAGATTAAAAATAAACATATTGTTACGATAAATAATGACTCATAAAACTATAAACATTCTTTTTCAATCTGATATTGTCTAGATTCTCCAACCCACGGGTTGCGTATTATACCTGCGATTCGAACTCCCCAGAAGAGGGCGAATAAAAAACCTGTCTGCTTTCGATGGGATTCCTTTTCATTCTAGAAGGTAGTCGTTCGCTCGAGCGGACTCCGGAACTAACGGTTATTTAGTATATATGAGACATTTTATTGAAAAGCAAGCAAGCAAGCAATAAATATTGTAAATAAATAATATAAATTAAAGTAGTTGTGTTTTAGTTTTTAGTTATAAGTGTAAAACTGTAATAAATATATAAAGATTCTAATAAACTTGTAAGTGTTATAAATGTAGAACCTTTGATAATAAATAAAGACAATGAATTAGATTAATAAAAACTCTTCTGGGGAGTTCGAATCGCAGGTATAATACGCAACCCGTGGGTTGGAGAATCTAGACAATATCAGAATGAAAAAGAATGTTTATAGTTTTATGAGTCATTATTTATCGTAACAATATGTTTATTTTTAATCTGTTGTAATAATGATAGAGGAAAACCATTATTTGGGAGCAGGTACAGGTTCCTTTTTATTTTAAGTAGTAAAGGGAGAATAATGACACATTTTATTTGAAGAAGTCTACGTCTACGAAGTCTATGTAAAGTAGATCATTCAAATCATCCTAATGCTTACGTAGATGTATATAGTAGATAGAATGAACTATCTTATAAGTAAAGTCGTTCCAGGATCGCAACTCAACAATATTGGCAATATAATTTTAAAGTCGACATTAAACTATACTTTAAAATTTATAATGTATGTCTGAATTGTCAATATAGAAAAAATTTTTTCACCAAATAACAAAAAAACAAAATTTGTTTAATTTACGAATGTTTGTATTTTAAGAACAATTTCCGAAGTGGAAATTGAAACGTCAATAAACGTATTTTAACCTTTAATTGTGGCTTATTCCCATTTAAATAGTAATTACTTTAAAATGCCACAAGAAAATAGCTTCAGACCATAATATAAATTGCTTTAAAATGACTGTTTTAAAACCCAATACCAATAAATAATTACTAAAGTATTAGAGTTGTATTAAAAGCAGAGCAAAATAACATCTACCTGTAGAGGTGAATCGACCAGGAAATGAAAAAACTGCTCTTCGTCGCATTCCTCAGGCGTATCTTGGTGAATTTTAATTTGATATTTTCTGTACAATTCGGCACTCAAATTAAACGTATCATTGATGGATGACATCCGCTCCACAGTAATCTATAATAATTTTTAATTTTTTAAGTAAAGAGCTTTTCTAATTTAGGATAATGTTTTATCAATTAAATACTGAAAACCATAATGTTTCAAGTTTTTCAAAAGTTTATTAATAGTCACATAGCCTTTTGGATGGCAAGATACACTGCTGGTTTATATAAAGATATTGTTATTGAATGTATTTAAGAAGAATAAATTATTTCAATATAAGGTTGAATGTTCGAATAATTAAACTTTGAGGGTATACAAGGCAACTATCGAACACGGTGATTAATTTAATCTTGCCCAAGTACTTTCGATCAATAGATCATCTTCAGGGGCATTTCGTCAATTGTGGACTATCCGACATAGTAGAATGTCATAAATGTAAAAACTGGACATAACAATACAAAATACACTACACTAAGACAAACAAACACTTTAAAATTTATATGGCGAAGCTACATATTGTGAAGAAGCCGGAGACAGAATTCATCATGTCTCCGGTCATTCTGTCTCCGGCTTCTTCACAATATGTAGCTTCGCCATATAAATTTTAAAGTGTTTGTTTGTCTTAGTGTAGTGTATTTTGTATTGTTATGTCCAGTTTTTACATTTATGACATTCTACTATGTCGGATAGTCCACAATTGACGAAATGCCCCTGAAGATGATCTATTGATCGAAAGTACTTGGGCAAGATTAAATTAATCACCGTGTTCGATAGTTGCCTTGTATACCCTCAAAATAAATTATTTGTCTGTGGTTGTCATTTTAATTTTCATTATATCGGAAGACTTAAACGACATAGGATTCTGAGAACAAGTTAAATAGGAAAAGTATATAATATATAATACTCGTAATAGGCTTATTCTAAAACTTAGTGGACTGCAATTCTTTTATGTCAGACAACAAATTTTTATTTACTTTGATGGTACACAAGGCAAATATCGAACACAGTAGTTAATCAAATCTTGCCCAAGTACTTTCGATCACAAGATCATCCTCAGGGGCATTTCGTCAGTTGTGGCCTATCCAGCAGTAACAGAATGTCATAAATGTAAATTGGGACATAACAAATACACTAAACAAAGACAAACAAATACTTTAAAATTTAAAAATTGGAGAAGCTACATTTTATATAGAAGCCGAAGACAGAATCTGTTGGTTGAAATGGTTGAAATTTTTATTTGTTGACTGTTACAAATATAGATAGAACTGTAGATATAACTTTATCAAATTTAAATAATTGCAAATCAATTGAACTCTCCCTGAGGGTTATGAGCGCGAGGACTGGGTGGATTGAGTAGCTCAGAAGCCGCGTTCATGCCCACAGGCGGTCAGAAGCCCAAATAAAAGGAGAGTTGATGGGTCAGATTAGCATCCTATCCATTGTAAAAAAAAAACAAGGCTAAAAGAATTATATAAAGTCTCGGAACCAGATGGAACCTAAGATGACGAATCACGCAAAAAAAGAAAAACGAGAAGGAAAAAATAAGCCCACAATCAGAAAAAAGAACGAGCACGAGTAGATGTATGCATACTTGTCCATAAAAATTTTAAAGACAACAAAAATAACTGCCGTTATATCTCCGAAAGAATAATACATATGAACATTACAATGGACTACCAAAAATTAAATGTCACATATATCTATAGCCCCGAGGATTCCAAACCTAAGGAAGAACGAGAGGCATTTTACGAACATTTGCAAACCATCCTGAATAAAATACCTCATGACGAACCTTTAATTCTTATGGGTGACTTTAATGCACGAATCGGAAGTGAAATAGTTTCCTTTATATAAATATAAAACTTTAAAGTTATCGGAATAAATAGCGGCAGTTAAAGAAGTACAAAAGAGGACAAAGAAAAAATCTGAGATTGCCAAGGATCTTGGGATTCCTCCTATTACATTATCCACCTACTTGAAGAATACAGAAAAAATTCTCAACAGTGAGAGTGAGTGCGGTAAAGACTGAAAATGATTAAGGAAGTCAGAAAAGACAATTGTGTTTTAAAATGGTTCAAACAAGCCAGGGATAAGAAGATTCCCGTGAGTGGTCCCCTTAGCTGAACAATTTGCTATTGAAATGGACAAAAACAATTTTAAGCCGAGTACAGGGTGGCTCGACGGCTTCAAAGAACGCAACAACATTTCGTTCAAATCCATTTGTGGAGAAAGCGGGGGCCGTTAATCAGCAAGAAGCCAACTAATGGAAAAAAATTGGAGTACATGATTCAGGATATAGATAAAAGAGATCTTTAGTATTGACGAGACGGGTCTTTTTTTTAATGCATTTCTGACAATAAAAAATGTAACGGAGGAAAACTAAGTAAAGAAAGAGTCACTTTCCTAATTGGTGCAAACATGGACGGATCAGAAAGACTGCCTCTACTGATGGTTGACAAGTCGGATAATCCGCGTTGCTCTAAGAACGTCAAGTCAAAACCGGTGGAGCAGCGCAAGAGTTTGGATGACTAGTAATCTTTTCGAGAAATGGCTGAAAAAATTAGACAAAAAGTTCATAAAAGAAAAAAGAAGTCATGGCTAATCTATGTGCGTTTAACGAACTGAGCATCAACAATACATTTTTCGACCATAAGTTTCAGTATAAATATACATTTGAAAACTCTAGAGGCACAAATCTATGATTGATTTTATAGTCACTATATCCAGTATAGAAAAATCCACCCAAAGCAGATTCTAGATATCCGAACTTTAAACTCAGCAGACGCAGGGAGTTAACACAAACTAGTACCAGCAAAAATAAGAATGAAAATAACACCAAAACATTTTCTACAGGAAATCACCCAGGAAAAATTCAATGTAGAATCACTGTAGTACGACTCTACAAGAGAAATGTACCAAAGGAGGCTAGCACAGAAGATACAGCTGAAACAAATAGACGACATCGAAGATATAAACGCGAGCTGGGAGAAAATTAAAAACAACGTTGAAGAAGCAACAACAGAAGCTCCAGTACAACGCAAACTCATACTGAACAAAAGAAACAACAATATATTATAATAGAAATATTATTATTAGAGATAATATACTTCGACGAGTATCAGGGAAAAGTCTGTTGGATAGGGAGAGAAGCGAAAACATAAGAAGAGCACGCAATATTGAAGACATAAATGGATGGGTGACAAAACGGAAACAGGAGTGGAACGAAAACATTAGTAGAATGGCACAAGATAGGGTAGTACGAATACCACGAGATAAGTCAGCAAATGGACGGAGAAGTATTAACAGACCAAGAAAAAGATGGTGCGATAATTTAAACAATTTAGGAGGCTAATATTGAAAAAAAAACAGGCTTTAAAGTCTACATACAAGAAGGAAGAAGAAAAAATAATTTTTTATTGATTTGTTTGATTGAGTTCTTATTTTCAATCGTTTTCTTATATGTAAAGAAATGTCACGTGAATAATCAAACAATCAAAAATCAAAGGAGATGGGGAAACGAAGTGTCTAATACGTACGAATAAAATGACAAGAAGTGTCTTAAACGATTTACTGCAAAAAAAACTATCCCTAGGTTGTGTGTATGTATGGGTCTTTACGTGTCGTGTAGAGAGAATATTAGTATTAACACTTTCACTGCGCATGGCGCCATTAGTCAACGCCATGGTCTGTCACTAGGTGAGCACTCTGCCATTTGGCGTAGGAGCTCCCTCCGTTTTAATTTACTTTACCAGTATTATGTACGTATTGAGTATGAATGCACGTGGTGTACGCAGCGAATTTGTTATACTGACAATTTTTTTGGCACACAACATAAACATAATCGAAATATCGAATATTGGTTTCTTCTTCATGTACCATGTCCTTTCAGAACGTTGGTTACCATCATAGCTATTTTAATTTTATTCACTGCCACCCTAAATAGCATGCTTGTATCTACACCATACCAATCTCGCAAGTTCTTCAACTATGAGGTTCTTCTTCGTCCTGGACTGCGTTTGCCTGCTATTTTTCCTTGCATGATATTTTGTAGTAATCTATATTTGGGACCTCTCATTACATGTCCGAAATATTCCAACTTTCTCTGCTTGATGCTTTTTATGATCTCAGTAGTCTTGCTGAGACGTTCTAGTACTGTGGAGTTACGAATCTTCTCCACCCAGGAAACTTTTAAAATTCTTCTATAGCACCACATTTCGAAAGCCTCAAGGCGATTTAGATCAATTTTATTCACAGTCCAGGACTCGACAGCATAAAGTAAGACCGAGAACACGTAGCAGCGAAGTAGGCGGATCCTTAATGCCAATTTTAGGTCTCTGTTACATAACACCTTGGACATCCTTCTAAAAGCAGCTCTAACCTGCTCTATTCTGGATCTAATTTCGCCGTGATTTTCTGCATTACAATTTAATTGCTGTCCAAGGTAGACGATTTTATCAACTTGCTCAAGTTTGGTATTATTTACATATATAGACGGTTTTATATTCTGTTGTTTACTTATTACGAGTATTTTGGTTTTCCTTATGTTGGTTATAGGATGATAAATTACTGAGTCATGGACAGACATTTTTTCGGAAGCCGTTTTATAAACTAGTCGTACTGCAGCCAATTGGTTTATTGTACATCTTCCGTTCATTCATCATGATACGTTTCCAGAATTCTGGAACCCAGAACCGTTTATACAGCTCTAGTGGATGGGTACCATATGTTTTTGGAATCACTCGGTAGTTTCCAAAAAGTGTTTGTTACCAATGCAATCTAATGACTCGCAGCCATGAGAGATATGCTTCTCTGTTAGAAAGTCTGCAACTTATTCCTAAAATTAGGTCAATTGGCTTTGCCAAGGCCAAAAACCAGAAAAAAAAGATTGGAACAGAAATTCGTCTGACAGACCTCTTATTTGGCCCTTAGCAACAGTAAGTTCTGCCAAAGCTGCCTTACGGGTTGACGATCAAGATTCTGATCCCTTTTCATTATCACCATTTTGAATACTTCTGTGCTATTGCCATATGACCTAGACCGTTCGTTGAGTTCCTAGGTTTTTAGCAGGGGCG